TATTTCTACATTAAAAGTTCTAATAAGTGATCCAGGAATAGGTGGAAAATCCTTTCTATAGGGATTGCCTAATACTTAACTGTGCCTTTTTCATCCAATTTAAGGTGGACTTACGGACATAAGATTTGAGAAACTACTAAGAAGGTTGTGCCCCGCATTTATTAAAAGGCCCAAGAATACATGAAGCGTGGAAGCTTTCAGAATACATTTTAAGCTAATACCTTCCTATTCGCGCTTACAAAGAGAATAATAAAATTCATGCTTTAGAAGTCGGCATCTCATATTACATACTTACATTGTCAACATAAAAAAGAACTCCGATACCTACGCATACATTGGGGGGTGACCCGTTTCAGGTTTTATGAGCAGGTGTTTCGCTGGCCAGATTTTTGGATAAGTTTATCTGAATATAGGCGTGGGTATTAAAGGAACAATGTAGGTAAAGCTGCATATGGATACCCTGCAACGGTCTATCCATACTCATACATACTCGAGGAGGGTATGCATAGATACAAGTATTAAATGTATATGGCGGTCTAGGTAACGCAAAGCCGATTACGCGTACCCTGGAATGCGCTATTCGTACGCAGCTTAAGCGTTTGAGAATCACTTACTTTATTTTAACTAGCAAAAGTTAAGCAACTTCGCACGGGTGCAGTACACAATGAAATCAGAAATAAAGAATATTAAAAAAAAATACAGGCAAAAACCATTCCGATTTTTGAAATTTCTACTCACAGCAATGAAAGCAATGAAAATAAAATTATCTTCGGTGCAAATACAAGCAATGCAAATATGGTCTTATGAAAGTGATGTGACACATACATTTCGGTGATGCATATTTAGTTATATACCTAGATTGGTGATCCTTTGTGGTAGAAATCGGAATTTCACTTTATATTTGAGTAAATCGAGAAAAAGTAGATGAAATTTGTACTACGTCTGTTATCGAATTTAAGAGCTACGAAATGTAGCTTCTGCCCGTGACTCCGTCCGCGTAATTCGTTGTTTGTGAATACCAGTTTTTCGTTTTTGTGTGAAAAGTAAAAAAATGTTACTATACAAACTTTCGTATTTATAATATGAGTATAGGATAAGATATTTGAATATATTGCAAATATATAGACGGGTTGGTTTGCTCTGCACTGGCTGCTAAAAGATAAATTTACTATTCAATTTTATATAGGTTCAATGTTTTTTTTATATCGATTTTCTTTTATGGCGCTGAACCGACTCTTTTGAGATGTGGTGTTGGAGGCGGATGCTAAGGATTCCATGGACTGCACGGCGGACCAACGTGTCCATACTTGAGGAACTCGGCATCACCACAAGTTTGTCCACTATCTGTTACCAGCCCATACTAAAGTATTTCGGACTCATCGCTTGCAGAAACCCTGGATGTTGGTTGGCCAGGTCGACGGGAGAAGATCACGCGATCGGTCCCCTACCCACTGATCAGACCTAGTAAAGTCGCTCACTGGCCTATCAATAACCAAGGCTATAAAGACTCCGAGGACAAGAATGTGTGGAGAGGCATAGTACATCAGATGGTCAACATTTCAAATTAGACACGACCTTCAGCAATGAAGATAGCGACTAAGAAGAAGAAGAATATTGATTATAACTTCTTTATGCTTTATTATGCATGTTTGCCAGTATTTATATGTGTGTACATTGATGCCAATAAGTGCCTGTAAAGGCTTAAGATGAATAAACTTATTTTCATTTGATTTAATTTTGCTATTCAGAATGCCATTTTTCAAATTACGATTACAAATAGAGTAATATATTTACCTTATTGTTTTACCCAAGAATTGAAGAATCATTTATTGGCGGAGTAGAACAGAATAGGTATTATTCCACATAACTATCACGGGAAGCCCGGAAATTACACCCACCCAATTCGAAAGGATTATCAAGTTGTCCCTTGGGTTAGGCCGTTTCATGCCTAGACCTCACCCTTATAACGTTTACACCCTTTTAAAGGCCCGACAATAAGTTCCCTTTTTTATGTCTGAATAACCCTTGAAATAAAGACAAATATTAATTTAAGTTAGTAGATATAATATTTATCGTTTATTGTAAAATTTCTTAATTGTTATTTTTTTTAAATACTTTTTTTGTGTTCCATTCCCAAAAGGGTGACAATCAGAGGCTGCAGCTTTATATATAAATGTTAAAATAAACTATAAACATGGCTTACTCTAAGGCCCCAATGAAGTAAACAGAGAGTATATTTTGTTTATTTTTGGTTTTTAGTGCAGTATCTAAATAAAGCGTGTTTTTAGTTTTTTTAAACTATTAATTTTTCAACTTGTATTGATCGATCAATCGAATTTTAAGTATTTTACTATGGACTAATCCTATCTTGGCGGGTCTGACTCGCTCTTACCCGTTTACTGTTTAGCTGCTGCAGTAATTATACTCCATGTTCTACCCATCATCACCGAACCGAACTAAACCGAATGCCCTCACGTAAACCAATAATATCACATGAGTAAAAAACATACGCTCTGAACAATAATCTTACAAGGGTTTTAAATTCGCCGGTCCGGCGAAGTTTTTCACAAGTAAAAGAATAATAGAAACCTTTAGTACCTAGTAACTTAAAGAATAATGAAGTAAAACAGATTGAAAATTCGCCTATTTAATATCAATTGTTTCACAGCAAGGCTAATACTTATTTTTAGCTATCACACAAAATCAATACACAGACTTGTGTATTGTGATTTACAGAAATGAACTCTACTGCGGTTCAATACAGCAGTTGTGTTGAACCGTTGTTGTACGTACAATAGTTATTTATTCCTTGCAAACAAAAGAGACGCATATATTAATGGTTGATCGCTGACTGTTCATACTGCCTGCGAGAACTCACACACTAGTTTGTCAATGAACGACAAGAGCTATCAAAGAAAAATATTCGCCATACGTTACTTACTCAGCGATGCTCGCTTGGCCGTCAAAACGTGTACGCGTTCATTTTGCTCAGGATTGCCACCATTACAAGCGAGAGCGCATGAAATCCTAATGAAGGTCTAACATTACGATTTACCACATGAAACACAGTAAAATTTCTGATTTCTGAAATCGCCCGTTGTACTCGTACACCCGCTTATAGTCCAGCGATTAAGCTATCGGAACTATTCACTTACTTTCCGCTGCTCGTCCACTAGTTTCTAGTTCTACTCGCTTCTCGTTCAACGTCAGCAGTGGAACTAGTACCTAAATCTGTTCTGGAAATCGGTTGTGTTACGTTGAAATGTCAATTAATGCTAATTGTGCGAATGATTAGGGACTTTCAAAGTTATGTTAAGTGTTTCGAAAGCTATAGTAATTTAATTGAAGCTATCCAATAGTCGTTAATTATTTTGCTCGTTCGGAATTTCGTCAATTAGATGAGTGAAAATTTATTTGATTCTGATACAAGAACGAAATAACGACGAACGAAAGTTGCTGAAATTAAACTTATTTTGAGTTGTATATTAATTTGGAAACCTTATATCAGACTATTTTATTGAAATACCATCACGAAAATTTTATTAACGAGGAATTTAATATTAACGTCAAAAAAAGCTAACACGGTTAAGTTTAAAAATATATATTATAGCTGATTTCAATTTTTTTTGTGTAATTAATTTGAAAAACATTTAAAAGCAACCAAAGGCCATATTCATCATATTATTATATATTAAAAAAACATTATTATTTCTTTTATAACTGCCACCTATGCTACCCTTTTATCAAAATAGTTTGAAACTGGATTATACAGCTGGTATTTTATATATATTCTTTAGTCCATATGTATGGTATTTGCCGCTAAACAGCTGGAACGACTTCGATGATATATATGTGCATTCGAGTTTAATCCCTAATTGGTTTAAATTCACAAGTGGACACGGTAAACGCTGAAATAGCATTTTTAATCGAACAGAGCTTCTGTTTATTTAGTATAATTCTTCATCATCTTAATGGGCCCTGTAAACGATCAAAATTGTTTTTTAAATTTACGTGTTTACCAAAGTTTGATCGTTTAAGGCTATTTTTGACGCGTTTGTCAAACAAATTGCGTGTTTGATGAAAATCTGAATTGATGCCTAATAAATTTAAACGTGTACAACGTGGTTTGTCAAACAAGATCTCACTCTTCATGTCTATGCCCTCGTCCGGCAATTCCAATCAACTCAAACTACGGAAAACATCGTCTTAGCTAATGTTTGATTAAAACGTGAAGTTTATCAAACAAGTTTTACAAACAAATTTGATCAATTTGATTGAAGAAGCATGAAATGAAACAAACAAAACAATGTTCAAAACATTTATTCCTGCCTTCGATTCTGACACAATGTTCACTTGTAAATACTTTACAGATGTAAAGCTTGTGATTTTATTAAACATAACAAGTATTCATAAAATTACAAATGACATTAAATAAAAAACAATCTTAACACGATTATTGCAATAGAGTTTTCAAACATTTTAAAGTCGTAGGATAAGTAAAACATAGTAAGGTTCCGAGATAAAGACGAATAAATCACTAATTTTCACGGCAGAGTAAATAGAGAATATATAAAATTACATAGTAATCTTTTCTTTTTACAAATGTTGTCTCTTTTGTATTAATGGATCTTACATGTTACAAATTGAGACACTTAAGGCACGGCGAAAATTACGACTAACTTTAATTTACATTTACAACTATTATAGACACTCTTGGTAACAATCTGTATTATTAACTATCTTGCAAATTGTGATATGTACAAAAATATTTATTCCACCTATTTAGTTATATTATTATAAATAGATTTGTTTTAAAAACAAATATACCTTCAAACGTATACATAAATAGAACGAAACAAACTAATAGTTGTGATGTTATTGAATACAGTATCCTTGAATACATCACAATAATAAACATACACATGCAGAAAAAATAACTTACGCTTTTGAAACGAATTCACAAAACTTATACTAAAAACACTGCAAAAATGTATTTTTGTGTCCGCAAATTTATCACTGTGTTGGCACATGTATACAAAACTGTAGAGTCTATAAATCGGTTCCTAGAACCGATACTCTTCAAATCAGGCACGTGAATTTTCTCTTTGTCTTTCCAGCTGCTTTCTGTGGTTATGGCGTTTCCTCGCAATTATTGCTATTATTATAACAACTACAGCTATAGCGACGGCAATTCCTATCCACCAATAGACATTATAGGATGCTGCTTTTACGTCTTCGGCGCCACTTTTCTGGTCCCCTGCTTCAATAGGATTCTTTATTTCCAAAACTGCCACTGTTGAAGTCTCAGCACCAAATTTGGACCGATCTTCTCCAGTTTCAATTTGATTAGCCAATTGTGTATCTTCATACGGTACCTCTACTTCGACAGCATTCTCCAAATCAAAGTCCTCTTCATTTTTTATCGATTCTGGTTCGATGTAATCATCTATTTCATTTATTTCATCTATGTCCTTATTAGTTGGATCCAATTGCCAATCTAAATATTCATCTAAGAGACGGTAATAATCAGTGAGACCTGTGTATTCTAGACCATTTTCTTTTTGTGCTAACAAATCGCTCACTAACTCTGGCCACTGTGTGCTATATCCTTGTATCATGGTTTCACTGAGGAAAAGCAGTGTTACGTTAATAAAGAGGTTTACATGAAAGTTTTTTTTTTTATTTAAAATATTTCTTACCTTAGACGCTCGTGATTAGCACCAACATGAGCCAATAGATCGTCGTCATCTGATTCGAGCTCTTCAGCAAATGATTGATATATTTGATATTTTAAAATAAGACCCATAAATTTCCTGAAATTTACAATTAAGTTTATTAATTACAGATAAGACTAAAAGAAACTTAAAGGTAACAGTGTGTTTGGTATTACTTACCCTATAAAAGGTTTGTTTAGCAGCACGTAAGGGTCAGACAATAAGTCTTGATCTGAAGTTTCTAGCATTGAAAATTTTTCTCGGAATTCACTCCAGCTCGTGGGAGGCAATGTACCCATCAATACTTTTAATCTCCATTCATCGGCTGCTAAATAAAAGTTTAACCTGTAAATAAAACATTTTTTTATAATTATTTTAATCAAGGCAAAAACTTTAGTCCGCTACGCCTTAATGTCCTTTGATTTATTTGTTAATAATATACCTAATCAAATTAAAAAGATTCATGCTTAAGCACTTATTTTACGAGAATACTTGAATTCTTCCTTCATTGGACTTTACTTTATAGGGCAATATTTTTTTCAGTTTACAGATATAAACTTTTGAATAATATACGTGTTCTTTAAATTCAATATTTTTAATCATTCTAATCGATTTCGTCAACAAAGAGTTTTGAGAATATCGTTCATTGTTTAAGTTGAACACAAGGAGAAAAAAATAGCAAATATAAAAGAAGCTTAAGAATAGAAAATTCAAATGAAAGAACGCCATATTTTCTCTTTCGTATTTTAAAAACTGAATTCTGGGGATTATCATGAACTCTTACATACAAAAGTCGTAAAGCAGGATTCTGCTGTACATTGCATGTTATTATAGCGATATCTGGCTCCAACATTCACAATTGAGTCACTTTTAGTATATTTTACACACACTTAGTTTATAAAATATTATATTAAACAAAATATTACTAGCAAAAATACACTGCGAAGAAATGACGCCACCTTGCAGCCTAAGAAATAGTTACCGCGAAAAACGTATCTCTGGACAATATGGCATCTCACTGGTATGTGACGTCACACAACTGTCATTAAAACGTCAAACCATACAATCAAATTTAACCGGAAGTTTACCTGCGTGTGACGTCATTTTAGGCTCCACCAATCCCAAACGTTTTGGGTCACGTGACAAAGGACAAGAAAACTATTATCTTTATCGTGGGTTTTTAGTAAAATTATGAATATTTTTTCTGTAAAAATAGTAAAAACTCCTGCCAATATTCATTCTTAATAGAGATGCTAACAATTGGCACTTTATTTTTAATACTGTCAAATACCCTATTACACTAATATTATAAAGGCGCGTGTGAGTGTGTGTGTTTGTTACTTCTTCAGGTCTAAACGGCTGGAGTGATTTTCATAAAATTTGGTATGGAGTTAGCTGACACCCTGGATTTAACACATAGGCTACGTTTAACTGTGGGATAATATCCCCAATAAACCGCGGGGTACAGCTAGTAGATTAAAATAGCTGAATATAATAATATTGAATTTAATAGCTATCTGAAAACAGTTCCCTTACAGACACAACGTGGAAAGGTATGAAAATTCAAATTCTCTGAGAATATAGATAATGTAAAGCACATCAAATGACATCAACTGTACTTACTTGGGTAAGTCGCGTAACGCCAACATGAGCTGCAAGATGAGACGATGATGGTTCCCATTGATATTGAACACGTCTACTTGGAATAATCCGTTCCTATCAATGGCATATGGGCTCAAAGCCAGCAGCGAGACAAATCCGGGGATTGCTTCGTAAACAGCTGAAATAAACGGGGATATTACTGATTCAGCTAGTGACGCTCGATCGCGCATTCTGACAGCTGATTTAACAATTATGGGGGAAATTTAAAACGTTACAAGGCTGCAGACAAAAAGGAACCGACAAAGGAGAACATATTTTAAAATTTAATACTCGTATTTCAATTTCGATATTAAAATTTAGTTTTTCGGTAGCTTATTATTGTTACATTAAACATTAATAAAGTCAAATCAGCATTGGTAGAACCCAAGAGGTCTTTTTGGTAGTAAAACAATAGTTTCATAAACTATCGCTATACATTTGCGGGAAATTAGATGCTCATTTTTATAGTTCGCTGTTTTATTTTTTTTAAATTTCTAGTTTACAAGGTTGCATTATCCTGATTGGATGGATGATTGATGATTTTTTAATAATTATTGTAAATATTTAGTTTTAACTTGTCTACTGATAGTTATTTTGGGACGTGATTCTCGATGACGTATGTGGTTAGCACATATCGTGAAAGTTAAGCAACTGTCACAATGATCGGTCATTGGATGGGTGACCAATAACTTGTTAACTCGAGCTCCTCTTGCCTCTGCTCGAAAGGCACGTTAAGCCATTGGGCTCGGTTGCATCTGCAGTCTTCCAATCCGCGCTGGACCCTCGTGGTGGGTCACGGCCCAGTCTCCCAATTCCATCCTTACGGAAGGCCTGTGCCCCAGTATTAGGCACGTCAATTGGCTGATGATGCGTTTGGGACGTGACGTTTCAGTTTGTTTGTGTTAGGGAAATAACAGAACTTATGTCAATACGTGCGTGCGCTCCAAGCAGGATTGTGTTCAATACTTTGGCGCGGGAACACTACCTTAATCTTTTGCATAGTGCTAAATCTCAATCAGAATACTGTAATCCGACAAAGTATATGTGTTATATGTATGTATATTTATTTATTTATATGTGTTTGTGTGTATATTTAAGAGAGTATGGTCGTATGTACAGTTAAGTGTTAGTATATTTGCTCAATGTTTGATTTTAATTTCTCTTCATTGATTCTGCTGTTTTTTAGCTCTGTATGTTCTTTCTGGTTGACTGGTGGAGAATCCCATATTGCCATTTGCTGTGTTAAGTCAAAAAAGATTAAATAAATAAAATAATTTTAACGCACGGACTCACCTGAGTAACGCGGGGCTTCCCTCAGTATGAACGTATTGTTGCTGTACATAGCCGTGGCTTGCTTGTACAATATCTTCATGGTCGCCTCGTGAGCGTCCAAATAGTTTCCGATACTGACATCTTTACACGAAACGATTCTGACTTTGTTCGGCTTGCACCAGTCGATGAGCGTCGGCGGGCAAGTGCCGTTGAATACGGATTCTGACAGCACTTCCGGTTTGATCTCACCCAGTTTTAAATCGCTGATGAGCTTAGCGGCCGCTTTAAAACTTTTCATGCCACCAAGATTCTGTAAGGTGATTTAGCAAAAATATATAAATCGTCATTGTTACTCCGATTGCTTTAGAATAAGCCAATTAGTTGTTACTTTAATTTATCTTTGACCTAAACATGCATTCTTGGAAAACTTTTGAACATTATTTTAATAAGGACCTGGATCGTTTGTTGCCTAGTTAAGAGTTCGGTCAACAATTTATTGATATGATGAAATGATAACTTGAATAAAGGAAGTCTTTCGGACAGGGCTATCACTTTTTTTGAAGAGATAGGTAAACAAGCACATAAAGTGACAGTGAACTCGCGCGCCAAGTTAAAATGAACACGAGGGAGGTTTAAGAATAAGCTAAGCTAAGGATTAAGATTCATACGTTTTTATTTAGTGATATTAAAAGTCTTACCATTAATTCCAGATTTGCATGTACTTTCTGGTAAACTGCTGGATGCTTCGGTAGCAAGCTCTCTATAATGTTAGACCAATCATCTCCGTTCAAGGATCCTGAAATAAATTTATGGTTAGATCCTTTGCCTTCTTAAACGTAATGCTAATTAAAAATAGAAATTAGTTCTAGTTTATTTATTCAATGCTGCAAATATAATACTTAATAGGTAGATAAAAAAGAATCGGTTATAACTGGAGTCAAAGCGGAACAGTGGGATATCCGAATAAAAGATATTGTGTAAAATTGGAGTCGTATAAACACACCATTGTTTAGTTGGTTTCTGTATCTCGTTATTAATAAATACTTGTTTCTCGTTGTCTGGAAGTGTCCACACCCCAATTGACACAAAAGGCTACAATTATCAAGCATAGAGTAACCCGGCTGATACGGCCAGGAGGGGAGTTCCTTACGCAGCCTTCCCCTCTGTCGAGTTGGGCATACAAACGATACATATGTACGGGAACGGGCGATGTATTGTATCATTGTTTATGTGTGAGTGTCGTAGTTACACCTTTGTTTTATAAGCGTGTACGTTAAACTGCGTTTGCGTGCAAAAATAATCATAATAATAATATAATATAATCTCATAAATACAAAATTTTATTATTTGAATAGTATTATGTGGCTGTGGTTGATGCCTTCCGTGTTAATTTTATGTTATCAAGACACATGGTAAAGTATTGGTTACATTTTTAATGTCATAATTGTTTGCATACTATTGTCAAAACTATGTATGCTCATCCCTAGCTCCTTATTTAAACGGATATCGATAAATAAAATACACAATATGAGACCTAATACTTTGAATAGTCAATAACATAACAATTGTTACACTTGTAGCTATTTATTTCATAGCCAACGGTTGCTATTTTTCTTTCTGTGTACAAGGTTATGAACTCATATCTTCAGATTTTATTGGTACATAAGAAAATTAGGTTCGGATATTGTGCGGGAAGTTGGGGCACAATAAAACGGTGCGGGTGGACAACGGTTCTCCCTGGGGTATCGCACTTGGAATATTTTACGTCTTCGGTAAACCATTACCGATACCATGCTCAGAGAATCTTGCTCAGGCAAGTGAATATTTGATCACCATTTTAACTTAGTTATTATCGCGTATTTAATAAGTGTCAAACCGACGCTTTCTTGCGTTTTTCATGACTAACTTTTATTTTTTCAATATATAAAACAAGCTTTAACGGATTAATTATATTTCACACAGTATATTTCAGTTACTAAATTACCCTTAAAATTTAACATTATAATACGGTTACGGTAACGTTCTGTTCCCTGTTTACGATTAAAAATGTTAACGGTATTGAAATTACCTAAATAAAAGAAAACCTTTTAAACGTGCATTTTAATGTTCAGCAAGCCTTTATTTAAGGTCCGATGCATGGATTTTACATCCAATAAAATTCGTTATTTGCCAAATTTATAAAAAAATTGCGCGTGATATCCTTCTTCAGTAGGTTCTTAATCATCATCATCATCAACAGCCTATCTTAGTCCACTGCTGGACATAGGCATCTCCAAATGCACTGGATCCTGCATTTGTAGGTTCTTAATGCATCGACAATATTAAAGTAGCTATTCGTAACAATAAACCAGCCAAAACTGCTTTGTCGTTGAGTCAGGCCATTTCAACAGCTACGTTGACATAAAAAATATTTTCCTAAAAATACAGCCATATTACATACAACTGAATTCAATAATAATGTTATGTAAATTGGTCAGATTCGAGGGTATCTACGGTATGGTTAATAAAATTCAAGTAGGATCAAGGCGACTGAAGTTTTCTGAGAATAACATATTATCCTCATAAACAACATAACTCGTGACATGAATTATGAGAAACAATTTTTAATATAACTGCCTTATAACAAAAACCATTTCACTTTGTGTTTATATATAAGACTAACAACATTTCGTTCGTAGGTGACATATTTTTTTTTTGAAGAAGTGATGCGCTCTTCTTGTATTCCTTTAATCTAATACCTTCTACTTTGTAAATGATGTTAATTGAGAGCAACTAGAGTCGGGCGATAGGGGAACGGGATACCATTACAAAACTAGTTGAGTTAACCGATGAATAGCCAACCTTTGTGTTTTGTGTGTAAATACATTTCAGGCACTCGCAAACCAACTGTTCTATTGCATTTTACATTTTAGTTAATCGAGTTTAGTTAAAAATAAATAATCGGTTACGGTTGTGGTTTAAATATATATATATATACAAACACACAAAAGTTAAAAAAAAATACTGATTCTATGACCCCCAAACTATTTTTTTGCAAATCTATTCAATGTACAGACACGCGAAGCTCATAATATAATATATATAGATGTAGGAAATCACTTCGTCCCATTTGATAGCCTACTTATTTTACACAGTTATAATATATATAATCTATAGAATATAATATATATAGTCTATAGAAAATGAGATTAAAATATCTAACACCAGTTAGTTAATAAAACGCCAACAAGAAGCCAACAACAGCTGCAGCTGAACTCAAAAGAGGTATATGCAATTATTAAATTTCCGCATATCGACTTACTTAGTAAATGAACAGGCAAAGTCTTCCCAACTGCATCGGCGCCTTTCAGCCTGAGCGCAATATAGTTGTGCAGCTTCGTGTAAAGAGGTTTCACGTTATCCCACAGTTCACGCGCTTTTAAAATAGCGCCCTCGTACTCCACAAGAGAATCCCAATATTCCTCGACTGTCTTGTAATCTGAAAAACAATTCACACATGAGATAACGTAGAAATTAATAAAGGAAAATTGCAGGTGCTTTTGATGATATTTTGCAAAGAATTACAGCAGTTGATCCTTTATAATCACATGATATGCTACTACCGAAGTTAGTTCTAAGCCCGCTTGAGGTTTTAAGAATCATGAGAGAATTAAACAAACCTTCTGTTAGTGATTCCCATGATTTGCTTTTGATTTTGTTGTCTGCCTATGTGTATATTTTCAAAGGGTTAAAACATTACTTTGACTATTATTAAGATTCCATAAAAGCAAGGTTAACTTATTTATTTTAAAATGGTAAGAACAGTGCTTACAACTTCGACAATTATTAAGACCTAAACTATGTATTAAGCAAGATTATAGTAATCCACGGCTTCCTTCAAATTAATAATACGAAATACATCCATAATGATACCATAATTCGAAGAGCAGAACAAACAAACGTTGAACTGTTTAATAACAGATATTCGATGTGAATTCCACTAAATCAATTATAACTTAAATTTTTACATAATGCCACAGGATCCTGTCATTTTTGCGTCATAAAAAGTATCCTGTGTGTCAGTCCAGGTCATAACTTTAAGTATACCAAATTGCATCCAAATCCGTTTAGTAGTTTTTGCGGGAAAGCTTAACAAACTCACTTACGCATTTATAATATTAGTTAGGATTTCACAATATTACTTTTTTGCATACTTAAACTAGGTTCTCTAAATAACGTTCAAAGTCAAGGGTATCATGGATTTTATCATACAGTTTGTCTGCGTATATAAATATTGATCGATAATTGTCAATATTAGCTGTATGATCAATCACTGAGAGTAAATACAGAGATTCAAGGCCGAACGTCAATTAAGTATAAAATAAGCCGAATTTGAATATAACCTCAGCCCTTTTGTTTATTTTATCAAAATAAGAGGCAAATTTATAAGGCTACAAAGAGTGAATATGAACAATTAATGATTGTCAAATTGATTATGAGACAGAAATTAGAAAAGCCGTTCATAATATCAATTTGGCAAAATCATGTATAAGAGGGAGATAATTTGATTTATCAAAGATACAGAAGGCGATGCTTTGCAGTGACTTGTCAAAATAAATAAGTTGTAGGTAAGTATATCATTATAAATATTCCAGTTCATAAATAGTAGATTGTTTATTAAGGGAGCAAAGAACTATTTTAAATACCAGTACCCTTAGCACGAAACAATATCGAATTCGTATCGAATGCGAGTACGAAATGTCATTGTCAAATGTGTACTGATTTTTAGTTCTCGTTACGTACTTTGTGGCGCTGAAGTTCAAGATTCCATACAAAATTTGACATTGACATTTTGCACTCGCAAACTATTCGAATTCGATAATGGTTCGTGCTAAGGGTACAGATCTACTTTTTATCACCCTATATGAGAAAATAAGTGAACACAACTAACATTTTAGCGTCCGATACAATGTTTGCGCGAGAGTTAATATAATAGATACTTTCTTTCTCACTACTTGAGAACGACACATAATTTTTTTATGAAACCATGTCAATCCGAATTTGAATGAACAATTATGAACGAAGGCGGAATGAATTTCACGCGTTTTGTGTTTCATAGCAAACTTTTTTTTTCAATGCTGACCTTTGGAGGAATTCCTCAACAATGGAAGTATTTGCTCCAGATACTCATTGGTGTCGGGGAGATTCCTTTCCCAGGATTGTTTCATACGACGTAGCGTTTCTTCATCCTGCTGTCTTGCATAGCTGATATGAAATTCTGTGAACACAACGTGAAGATTACCATAAACCATTATACACAAAGACGATTTTCTAAGAAAACGGAAAATTATTCCAGAAAAAGCATAAAGAACCTTCTTTAATTTCATTTTAGAAATTCATATTTGATTCTCATTAAAATACGTAGTACGTACTCGGGCGTGCAGAAAATACTTTATTTTAAATGAAATCACTTAAGCTGTTTTCTTAACTTACTTCACAGAAACCTGTTACTGTATAAATGCGGACATTACTTCTTTTCCGTATTTTTTCCGAGAAAACATTATATATTTTTCCACTTTTCATGTTGTTCATTAACCTGACTATGCACTTTTTTGTTTTTTTCCTATATACGTGAAATAATAAAGTTTTTTTAATGTTAAAAAATTTGCTATGCGTAACTAAGTCTTAAAGGATAATTATTACCTACATTTGTTCTTTATAAATAAATAAAGAGAAACAACAAAATGGAATTGCTCTTAATAGTATAAGATCCCAAGACCTCCAGACCTTACTTATTTTCTAATGGACAAAATATGGATAATTGAGTAGTACTTGTGTGTACAATGAACGTATACATATTTGCTAGCTAGTACTGTGGGCCAATTTTCCGGTACCAGGTGACTCAGGAAAGTAAATATTTTACTCACTTTACTTATAGTCTGAGGACTGATCCCTACGTATGTTGTAGAGAATATTGTAAACAATTTGAAAGTAATAATGCCAGACACATACTGTCTGTGTTTTTTGTTCACGACATTAAAGCGTCTGGCAATAAATACTGTTAACATAATATGTCTGGCTGGTAAGAATCAATCCTCAGCCTATATAGTATAGTGAGTAAAATTTTGACGTGCATGTGACACCTAATATCTGAAAATTGGCCCACAGTACAAGTTAGCGGGTATGTAATGTGGGTACGTTCATTATACACACAAAAACTACTCGATTATCCATATTTTGTCCGTTAGAAAATAAGTAAGGTCTGGCGGTCTTGGGATCTAACTCTATAAACCATTGTATATTTAAGCGAATTTTCAATTCAATATTCACATTGGTAGCAAAATACCTTTTTGAAACTGCTCAAAACAACTAACTCGATCTGACTCACCCTTAGGCACCTACCTCACCAGGTCGGTGCGGGCAGGCTCGTTTCGTTTTCGTTTTTAAACTGATTATAAACTGATTCTTTTTCAAGTACATTTTATCAGCACACAATGAGAGCTTCCTCACTGAGTCGTTTTGGTAAAGATTGTTAACCAAGCGGATACACAACTTTCTGTACCGAGTGCTATCAAAAACACAAAACTACGGTTTTGTTTGCGCAAAGAAAGCGAGTGCTGCTGGGTGCTACCGAACAATTCGACTCGCCCGTCCTGTTACTCCCGCAAATAAAACGAAACGATACCGCAACGAAACCGAGTCGGTCAAGAAGTGTTTCTCGGTAAAGAATCTGTACAGATTCGTTACAGAAACGAAAACTAAACGAGTCCGTACCGACGCAGCGAGGAGGACCTTAATCAGTTAAAACTAGCAGCTACAACTAAACGAACCAATGAAACTAAAGCGTGAACTAACCTCGCAATGAACAATTTGTACCTCCGCAGTCATAGTTCGTAGCGAACCTGAGCTTGTGTTGGGATGTAACACCAAATGTTACAAGCTGTAACAAGTTAAAATTATACAAATTAATAATAATTTCACAGTCGCGTTGAAAGCGGTCAATTAATTTTGGTGTTTGAATAAAGTTGATGATGTCGTATTAGTCATTTGTTTTCTTTTATAATGGTGTCACTCTCTTTGCTTGTTTATTTCTACAAACCCATGATAAACAAATTGAAAAATAAACACTTGAAATGACGTTCTCGTGATGATAATTTATGTGTAAAGGCAACATTGAATATTTATCTACCATAAAAAAATCATGTAAACTAGTGATTATTCATATTAGAACCTTCTTCAAGTTTGATGATAGGAATAATGATTCACTTTTTTTTCTTCATCTATCAGGTAGATTATGAAAAAGTATCGGACACGTATTTTTTTTTTATAAACATAATCAAAACATAGCGGAGTTATATTGATTTAAAATGTCGCATGACGTCACGTCTAAGTCTCATTTTTACTTAGAAGTGACGTCACGAGCCTCCTTCCATACCTTCGGCGCGCCTTATCTTTGTAATTTTTTGGTTGATTATTAAGAGAAAAAATACGTGCGTCTGTTATTTTTTGATTATCTAACTGCTGAACTAAATAGAATTTCGTTTACTTTGTTACCCTGTGTCATCATCCCTATCTGGTGTTAAGGGAATTTTTACACACTGCCCACGCTCAATTTCAAGACTTCAAGAACGCTCAAAGAGGCTATCTGTGGGATATATTAGGTTTTCATTGAATATCTGCACGTTGCACGTTATAAAGGTAACAGGGGGGGGAGGCAATATATCCCGCAGGTCTTGACCGTGCCATCTCATAAATAAAAGAGAAGATTTATGTGCTATTACTTTTGCTATCTTCAGCAATAAAAGTAACCAAATGATTTCGTTACGCGCATAACGTTTAATATTTAAGCTTATACTCGTATGGTGGGCTAGCAAGGGAGTCTTACCGAGTCATACTAACTCACAGAAATGCTGAAACATTTCTTCGTCCTTTCTTGCTATGTTTTATTTTTAAATAAGGCACAGCATATTACTTTCTGAAACTCAGTTCGGGATAGGCCCTATATAGGCAAGGCAAGGGCCTATTATTTTTACTTCAACTGATGTTTAGTGTAAACGGAGAATATCTGGTGTACTGATTATAATGGTGCTCCATCCACCTCACCTTGCGGGTGTGAACTCAATTTGAAGCTTTGAATATCCCTTGGAGCTTTGGCAACTTTATTAGCCGCGTTGAACACAACACAGAAGAATATTGTAATTCATTATTTTATTGCAGTCATCTGCAGGGTTAGCCCAAGGGATTATTCCCTGTGAAATCCGACACCTAAGAGAGGGCGAGCATATCATTTTTTTAATAAGGTCACACGTCTGAGGTAGTCATCTCTACCATACACAAGACCACATTATACGTGGGACACTCAGAAAGTTATGTGAAACTAAAAAAACTAACTTCTATTAAAAAACTAAATGAACGAAGATGTTCTCGATGCAGATCCATTTATTGATGAGACAAGAAAAATTTAATTGGTTCTAGAAAAAATGCGGAGGGATATCACTGCTCGATTTTAAAATGCATTTTAAAATCGAGCAGTGATATTTTTACTTTTAAATAATCGAAGTTTTCAAAATAATTACAAGTGGCCAGTGTCTTTACTTAAAAACTTTTTTTCGCAAAACTCTCCGAGGTTCCCGGTAATAACGATACTATTTTGTTGGGGTTATGTTTTCTCGGTGAGTATTGTTAGCGGCAAACTTTTTAAGCAAAACTACAGACAAACAAACTGACGTTTTTGTATGTAAAATTGCTACTGCGCAGGCTTCCTTGTCTATAGTCGTTGCTCAAGAAGTTTCCCGGGATATATATGATAAATAAACCTATCAAAACGATACTAACAATCATTGCAGTTTTATAAGTAGCTACCGATAATATTTTGGGATATATCATACCTTAATCCATTGCTCTGTGTCTAGGAGCACATCTCCCGGCTGCAGAAGTAACTTTACTTTTCTTTTTAGGATGTCATCGTCTTGTCCAAGTGCATGTCCAGTGACAGCCCTCTTTACTTCATCTCTAATTTTGCTCGCGAACACACCGAAAGATTTGTCACGTTCCAGCTGAGAACAAATGAAAATTATTAAAAAACATTTAAAGATTCGTTCGATTTCAGGGGTTTGGTCCTCAGATTTCAACATGCTTAGCTTTTAAATTTGAATTAGAAGAACTTTGGTGCAAGTGGGCCTAAGTTTATAACATATTGACCTAATGGGTTTTTTAAAATGTGTTAAAATATTAGCAATAATATCCTGTTCTATGCAATCAGTGTTAGAAGAGGTATTTGAAAAGAAAATTAATATAAAATTAAAAACTAGCCCTGAAATAAGCACTGTAAGGCTTATGTCAAGGAATACCAGGATAAAGACAATCTAAATAATTTAGTTGGGTAACGGATAGAATAATAGTTATATGGAAATTTTGTATTACCAAAGAAAAAAATCGGGTTTAATATTTCTTATGTGTATAATTAAAAGTCAGTATATTTTTTAAAGAATTCCAAAAAAGATGAGGTTCTCAATTCGGTCAGTATGCTTTTTTGTATAAACATTTATATTAACTATATAAATCCTTGTATGCATTATGAAATATACCGGGATTTTAACTTAAACATTACCGAGTATGCGACACCTCGAAAACCAGTGTACTAGTATATAGTACCACGGAGATCGTTTGAATCAGCTTGAAAGGCTTACTGGCTCACGTAAATTGTTACTTACACGGACAGCTCGTTATTCCATTAGGCTTATAGCCCATCTCTATAGACACACTGAAAGGCTGGTCTTAAACTTATTACTCTAAGTAACTTGTGGAGTCGTCTGGTCTATGTGTCATATCATACCTAACAAAGTTAATTCCATAAAACTTCTTTCCTCAGTCATGTTTAGGTAATAACAGTACTTATGTTATGTTCCAATTAATACAGCAGAGTTGTCCGGACAGAAGACAAAATGTCAACCCCGATGTTTGTTTGTTTTAAGACAGCAAAAAGCTCTTGTTTTGCGACTTCAACATTCTTATTGTATACCGAGTAGGGTGACTTCCTTTCAGTATTCCGTCATATTGTGTGACTTATATTGCGGTCACGTAACACTGTGTAACTGGAGTATTTTTACTTATCTCTACGTCATGTGTCCTGTGGGATGGTAGTGTCGGGAAATACAGCGTAAGGCGTGTGTTTCTCGTAATCTTTGCGTGTACGACCATTAATCACAATCATGCAGTCACAGTTACCGAATATCTGAGCAATATTAATGTTGTAATATATTATGCTGTAATTTTTCTTCCTGTGACTTCCTGTTTAAGTGTGCTTAACCATGTAATTGAATTGAGATTTTTTGATATTAAATATTAACCGCGTGTTACCCTATGTTTGATATTCATATTTACTATTGACCTAAAAGCATAGTTGCGTGACCTAAGATTTTTCACAAATTCAGTTTCGCACATTGAAATTGAAAAAAAAAACATTTATACGAATTAATTGTTTCTTTTGACTCAATTTATCTGAAACTAACAATGACATTTGTGTTTTTATTAAACCCACAGATTACTTTTGACTTGTTATATATCCACCTTTATGAGATCTGTGGTCACAGTCGACTGATTCACAAAAGATATTGGGAGAATAGGTTTTATCTCGCATTCCGTAGTCCTATTCGCCTGTAAACTCGAACTTTGATATTGAAATAATTGTGAGGAATCATATACATAAACGCTATTGTATCAATACATGTGTTATTCCAACAGTATCTGATTCATCTTTTTGAAACAAATATTATTATACACACTATTATTTTGACGTTTGAGGCCTTTTTCAGTTTCTGTCGCACAATCGTGATAGATTGTCAACCTATTCTGCCAGTTTCTGAATATCCCTGTCCATCAATATTATAGGCTTTCATTAGCTGCGCTGGAGTAGCTCGATGGCAGAGGTGGTTAGCACGTTCGGTCTGCGATCATGGAAGTAAAGCAAATTTCGCAATTGCCGGTCTTGGATGGGTGACCAGAAACTTACTATCTCGAACTCCTCCTGTTTCTGCTGCTTCGGAAGGCATGTTAAGCCATTAGTCCTAGTTAGATCACACTGGGTCGGTCAGTCGTTAGCACCCACCAGTCCACACTGGGCCCGCGTGGTGGATTTTGGCACATCTCCCTATGCTATCCTTAGGAAAGGCCTGTGCCTCAGTAGTGAGGACAATTAAAGGTTGATGATGATGATGATCTGCACTAGGAAGTTGGCAGCTAATACATTCATGTGTTCCATTTATGAGAGCTGTCATAGCAGCATATTTACCGCTCGAATTAGAGCACCCATCTGGGGAAATAACCTACACCTTACAGTTAGGGTTGCCACCCGTACTTTATTATAAAGTATTGTACGTTATTTCGGGTAACTGTACTCTTTACTTTATGCCAACAATAAAGTACGCGAAAATACTTAATTTAATGTGATTTGATAACTTGGGGCTTAATTCTACATAAAATATACAAAAAGAGGATAGGAAGAATTTTTGCGTAAAACGGAACAACAGTATGTATAATATGTCGCCCTTAGCTCAGTCCTGCAACATTGTCGCGGCTGTCGGGCTTTGTAGAATGGCCTTTCCCATTGCGGATAAGAACTACAGATTTTGAGTAGCCACAAATTATTTATTAAAAGTTGCTATAAACAACGTAAAATATATTTTTAAGCTTTCTCATAAAGTACTTTATTTTGGACACAATGTACTTTTTTAAGCTATTGCATGGATTTTATCGCGGGCTTTGAGCGCGGCGATCGAATCAAGAAATTTCGTAACGAAAATAACCTGATAACATTGCATATGAATACAATTTTCGCCTTTCCAGTATCGATCAAGACCGCGTGTTAAAGTTATTTTTTTGCCATGGGACCAACGTTCGACGCATCACCGCGGTCGTCGGTTCAAATCCCGCACTCGTATTTTTTATTTTCTGTTATATTTTTTTTCCTTTTTTATATATTTGTTTTAGACCCCAGCACCTGTTCTTATTTTTATATGTCTCCCTTTTATTTAGACTTTACAATTATAATTTAAAGATTGTAAACTGTGGAGCTTGTGGAAGTTTTTAGCGCCGGGCAATGCTGTTGTTTGCTGTCCTTGCCCAATAAAATATCATAAGGCCTGCCTCGCCATCTATTAATATCAAAGAAAAAACTTGAATTAAAAAAGAAAAAAATACTGCATAAATAAAATAAATAAATAATTATAATTGCATAAGTTGATAAATAATGCTATGCAATAGCTTCACCGCGGCAGTCCCCGAGTGCCACACGTATTTTTTTTCTACCTTTAATATCCAATGTACTTTATTTGGACATAAAAAAGGTGGCAACCCTACTTAGAGTAGATCACAATAATATAACACTATCTTTTGATGGTTTTCTGTTTTGGTCGGTGAGTAAGGTTCCAGGGCTCCACGGGGTAAGGGATTGCGTCAGGGTAGGCAACGGCGCGAGAAATATTTTTTTGTATCGCAAGCGTCTGTAGGCTATGGTAGCTGCTAACCATCAGGCGGGCCATATGCTTGTTTACCACCCTTTTAACATAAGAAATGTTATGTTTTTATTTTTTAAGCATTTAACTGCTAGATGTTTAAATCTAAATAAAAGTTTTACTAGAAAAAAATCCACGCGGCTTGCAGCTTAAGGCTAGGAAAATTTCGACGCGGCGATCGGGGCCGTGGTAGCATAATTGGTCAGTGCATTCGCCCGGATTGCGAAGGGTGCGGGTTCGAGTACCGTCCGCTGCCTGGTCCGCGTGGATTTTTTTCTAGTAAAACTTTTCTTTATAAAAAATGTTTTTATTTCATTCCTACTCCAGCATCGGAGATCCTATTTTTATATTTAGAAAATCTATTTGAGGAGAATGAATCAGGATAAAATCCCTACATAAGATATACTGACTGACCCGATGTATTTACGGCCTTAAAGAAAGACCGATGTCGACTTCCGGGAGTTATGAATATTTGTCCACTTGGAATAGGAATCTCCTCTCATAAAAATATGTATGAAGGGTTGCGGGGCCAATGCATGGGTAATAAATAATTGATTTATACGGAGCCCTTTAGGGAACGTAGTCAATACTTTCGGTCTTATGTAAGTTGTCCAGCACAAGTCTAGCACAAAATTTTAACACCGCTCCACATTTTAATGGTGGATAAAAAATAATATGCATTCACGATTTATGGATCCAGTTATCTGATACTTTGTCAATTAATCCATTTTTGTCTTTGACAACCTTTTTTATAATAATTTCCAGCTCTTCTGGTACCATTTTCTATTTATATAAAAATCTCGTATCACGGTATTTGCTATCGAACTGAAATTGCTTCATCGATTTTGGTATATATTGTAACTGAGAAAATAAGTCTTAGGCTATTTTGATACCACTGGGTGACAAGGATAGCATTTTTTGGACATTTGTTTTTATGATTTGCCATCAAAACATAAAAAACATTTTTACCTTTCTACCAACAACCCCCATTTTTATGGCGCTACGAAGTTAGTATATACTATACCGCTTATTATAAAACGTAGTCTTAAGTTAAATCTGGACTACAACTGATGCAGTCACTTTTGTTTGCCAAAAAGAAGACAGAGACAGCATCAAGTTTAAACCAAGACTAAATTAAGTCCACGTTTTGGAATAAGGCGGAAGAGGTTTTCATTTTAATTTCACTGACCTTTTTTGTGAGACCCTGTTCCATTCCCATGAGCTCTTCCCACGTGGATGTCGCCCTCTCGACACAGTTGTCGATATAATCCATCTCGACGAGTTCCACCACAGAGTTCAGCCATCCTCTGTCTTCTACTGATGACGTGGCGCTGAGCAGCAACGTAAAATAGTACACGCTGACAACTGGCAGTGCAGTCTTCATGTTTTACTGTTGACAAGGAGAAAAACAATTGGTAAGATCTGGTCCACATAACTTGCACATGAGTAAATGAGTGGAGACGAAGCTTCATACTATTGCCGGTCTATGGCTGGCAGCCTTATGCTTTACAAAAAAAACCCGGCCAAGTGCGAGTCGAACTCGCGACCGAAGGGTTCCGTACCATTATCTATACAGCATTAGACACCATTTTTTTTTAACGGTGGGAAATGCATTACGCATACCCCGCGCTTTGGGGTACGCGGGGTTATGTCGGACTCTCCGCGGCTTCTGGGGGCAGACAGAATGCCCCCCAGAAGGTGCAGTACCGCGGCCTACCGACTAAAACCCACCGATGCCCCTTACATACGCCTTGGCGCGAGCACGCCCATCACCGCCGCATCCTCATCGTCGTCTGACGAAGAGGACACGTCGGGGAGGGACACGTCGCTGCCGGACAAGGTCATGGGAACTCGTGAGAACACATCCACGACAGTATTAGACACCATATTAGGTATAAAAACAAGTTACACTATAAACTTTTTATAGGTTTCCTGTAATACACAAGCAAATAACTACATTCCATATTTTTTTTGAATTTTTAGACTCAGTACTTTCGAAAAGAAGATTCCCCTCCCCCAGGTTATCATATTGAGCCCTTTCATTTTATATATAACACGGCACAGTTAGCTAAATTTTATTTTCAATTTTCTAATTTACATCACAAAAGTAACCTCCGTATTTTCAATTTTTTTTTTTACTTGATACATGATTGTACCACATTTCAACTTGATTGGTCTAGTAGATTCATACATTTAAAGAAATAATCTTCTGATGGAATTGGATGTATATAATAAATGAATACCTTTAATTATAAGCTCTTATTTACATTAAGTTTGTAAGTTATCTGATACTATTTCAGTTATACATTATAAATGATGTCAGAATAAAATTGAATTGCTGCTGCTGCTCATCTCTTCAAGCACTTTTCCAAAACTATTCCTTCCTGAAAAATGCACATTTTTTTCAAAGAGTTGATTTTAAGAATACTCAAACGACGTTGAAATAAGGCAAAAAATACCACCTCTTTTATGACTCCCGTTATAACTGTTCTATTCATTCGTGATTCCGAAAGGGTCACGACGATGAAAAGAAAATTAAAGGCCGACGATTCATAAAGTGATTCTAGCTCCCATCTTTTGAACGTTTACAACGGAAGATATTAAAACCACATCAAGGGAGGACGGCGACAATATTTTTTATGCAAATTCACAATCTGACTTTTACATTCAACTGCTTAGTGCAGGGACTTAAAGGAAGTTAAAAAAATAAGTACAATTTTGAGTTACATAAAAGAGAATTATATAAATTTATTTTTCTAGTATAAATTTATTTAATAACATAAATAGATAAAAATATATACATAAGTTTCACAGGTGGCTGTATGAGTCCAATAATAATATTGTTGCATCAATATACTCAACAATAACATATATCTACATATCACCAATGTTTGCAAACTGCAATGCAAAATTGTACATAGTTTTAAGCTATTGCATAGATTTTAATTTTTAACGCAAGCTTTGAGCGCGGCGACTGAATCAAGAAATTCCGTAACGAAAATGGAATGTTCAATTGAAAGGCTGAAAGTATATCATCCATTCCATACAATTTTAACATGGCAACCAGCGAAAAAAGCCCATTAACAAGGTTTAAAGCATACATAAATACCGAAATAACACCATACCGCAATTCACAATAACTTGACGCCGTCTGTGACGGGCGTTGTTAACTAATTTTATCCTATTAACTAATATTATCTGAAACAAAACCATATCGCAATCCACAATGCATCAACGCCATCTAGGAGAGGTGTTTGTAAACTAATTTAATATTATTTTGTATTTTTTTTTATTATAGTTTTACATTTGTATTATTTATATATATATTAACATTTATTTATTGGTTATACATGCCGCCCACCAAGGACATACAGAAATGTCCTTAAAAAAGGGAGAGTAGATACATCATCATTAAGTATACACCCTTTTTTTAAGGTGTATAAAAGGACTCACGTTTACATGCAAAAACATAACATCCTGGAACACAATCACAACAACACAATCTAACTCTTTAAATAAAACTAGTTTTTTACGGGTTAATGCACGAAACTTTATTTATTTATTGACGTTTCGTAGCCTTTACAGGCTACGTCGTCAGAATCAAATTTTATTCTGACGACGTAGCCTGCAATCAAATTTTATTCTGACGACGTAGCCTGTACAGGCTACGAAACGTCAATAAATAAATAAAGTTTCGTGCATTAACCCATAAAAAACTAGTTTTATTTAATGAGTGATGTGCGTGAAAACCTAAGAAACAAGTATAATCTAATTCTTATATAACAGTACTATAAAAAAAAATTATAAATTTAAGATATTGGAAGTACACACAAGTAGATTTTAAATTGGCCTTTCTATCGATGTGTCATTAATAATTTCTTTACAATGCTAGGTGAGACACCGTGCTTCTTGGCCGCGTCCACGAGTGAGTTCGAGCCCGCGACTAGTTGAACCGACTGTACTGTACGAAGCTCGCACGGATCGAGAGGACCTGCTCCGAAATCGGACGAATACGTAAGCAGCTGTTTGTGATAAAGTATATAGGTGTATAGGTATCTATCATCTATGTACAACAGTGAATAGCTGTACGCATAAAATTTGTGTATAAAGTGTTTTAGATGTGAATAAACAAAGCCATTTTTAAAATGGGTGAACTTATTGTGCCTGAAATAAACATTTATTACTATTATAAATGATTGGTTATAGTAATTAATAAAAAACATTAAATAACGACCAGCATAATTTTTAAATTAATTTATTTGCTTTTTATTTACTCTCTTCATACTCTAATACAAAAATGGCTTTAAATATAAATGCCTATTATTAAATCGCTTGCACACTCGAAAAATACTATATCGATTAGCTTTCCGTTGATGTTACATATAAAACATTGATTCACTTTCATAGACATCTGTTTTAAACTCTTACGTACTTGTTTAACTGGTTTATTATTTACACTAAGCCATTTGCACCAAAAATTATTTTCTTAAATTGAATTAACGCTTAATCCTTTTTAACACATTATTCCATATTTGTTTAAAGTCAATTAAATATATAATGAGGCTTAACATGATAAGTTAATAACTTAATTTAGGAACTTTGGTGCAAGTGGGCCTAATATTGTCAATTGGTTATAAACAATCAAAACACTATAAGTCGACTTCACGACCACAGCACAAGCGATTAACTACAGTTTACAGCGTTCTAGCCAGACCAACTTCAGGAATCGCTGCTACGAATCGATTTTGGTGCATTCACAATTGAACCATTACTCACTAGAGCTTCCCTGCTATTGGATTCGAGAGGCTCCTTGATCAAACGATTGTCAGTTTAATTGAGCACGCTGGACCCTGAACTCTGTAGGTGCTTGGGAAGTTTGCAATCTACGTTCTTACCATCAGAAAATAGTCTAGTTAATTAAGTGTTAGGTTCTCTTACAGATTTGAATCTTTACTCTTAAATCTTTAAGATACCTTGGGTAATCTCTTGATTTCGTTTATAGCCAATTGTGACTTTATAGCCATTTGTAAGTGTGCGATGAAGAGCCACTTTGCACCAAAATTCATGATTCAAATTAAGGGTTAATCTTGTTTAACCTCGTTCCATCTTTGCCCGTTGTTGACAGTCAAATAGAGATAGAATGATACTTAAACATGATTGGCTTTCAATTTGATTTAAAAACTTTAATGCAAGTGGGCCAAAGAGTTCAAAATGATTGTTGAGGGAAATGTATTCCGAATCAATGATTACTCTTGCGATCTTTAATCTTCTATAATATTTGCATTGCTTCAGGTCTCGATAAAATATTGCTGATTTGTTAAATAAACTAGCTGCAATCAGGTCAGAACGTTACCTCAAACTTTACGGTTCTTGCGATATAGAAAGATGTGAATTTGCTTACGCAGGATAGTGCTACGGCAAACCATTGGGAGTCCCAACTTTCTATCAGATAACAGTATCAGATTTAAATCAAACTTTATCAGTCGAGACGTGTGTGAATTTATGTTAAATCAAACATTATTGCGAGAAAATTTTGTTGGAAAACCCAAAGTGTTATTGGCTCTAGAAAAAAAATGTTGTGGCTTTATAAAACGACGATGCAAGCTGCTTATTTGATGTAACTCTGGCTTATAAAAGTGCCAAAAATATAAAAAGTCCTTTCTCGGGTGGGAATCGAACCCAGACTAACTGCGCATTAAGCGAGCTTTCTGAATAGTGTCTCTGATGAAATCTTCAAAAGTTTATTACGGATGAATAAATTTTATTTACACATGAAAAATTGTAAGTAAGATACAATGTTTTCATCATTTAACTTACTGATTTCACGTACGGTACAATCGACGGGCGTTCGCAAATGGCGTGATCTCTGGGAGTTTCTGGCGTCAGGTAACGGTGCGGTATTGACATGTAATTTACTTCCAACTTGGGAATACATCGGATTTAAATCGTTTGCTTATTCTCTTTTGAGAGCCGTGATTTATGATTTTCGTGTTTCATCCTTTTCTTTCGTCGGATTGTGTACGTGAATAATGACTCGTTGGGTTATGTTGTTTTGTACGACTGCGGAAATATTTACTATCGTTTGTTCAATTTCCTCGTTTTTATAAGGGTTAGTATTCTACTATCTACTATAACATTTAAACAGATGTACACTATAGTTTTCGTTCTCAGAAGTGAATGAAGTTATTGAACTGATGGTGAAAACCACATAAATCCGTTCAAGGTACTTAATATCAGAATGAACATATAACATAATGGACAGGTCTGTCTGTCTGTAAGCCGGGGTTACTGTTTTATAACAATATAGCGTAAAAATTCACAATTACTAAGTTAAATGCTAAATCATATTTTCACAACATAATACAGTTCGTGTCAATTTTACACAAAATTGCAAATAAATTCAAACAAAATCTCTTTTTATATTTGTATGTTGGAATGTATATTTGATCAAAGTTATTCTTTGTATTTTCCCCTATAGATATGGGAAACAGCCAAATTACGTAAACACCTATCGACCTTTACGTGTAATCTATTAAAGTAGAACTCTTGGTTCCCTGACCGCGTACTTGGAAACCGATACACGTATCATCTTCAATTACTTTCTTCACAGTTTACTCACAAAAGGCTCTGTTTGGCTTAGTCATAGACAAGGATACAATAGGGATACCACCATTATATAAGTTAAAAACAGGACAAGTTGCACTGGGTCACTTTATCCAATGACAAGTATTATTCTAAGTATAATACAGAATAGTTACATAATCCTAAAGCATACAATTTTACTATAAAAAAAATCCACGTCGTTCAGGCATCAGACAGGATTCGAACCCGTGTCTTCCCCACTCCAGGAGGACGCAATAACCAACTATACTACCGTGACCTTAATAGCTGTGTCGCATTTCTTTTAATGTTTCTTAGGCTGCAAGGCATGCTTCAATTATAGGTAAACATAAATTTCTGATTTGTTGTCTTTACACAACAATTGCACGAAATCATTGTCCGTAAATAAATCGAACGCATATTGAGCCTACTATACTGGCACGTAAACAAAGTGTTTAACAAGGACGACCGCTGTTGTTAAACAGTTTATCAGGGGAGAAAAAGTTTTCGCTATCTGAAGAAAAAACTTTACTATGTGAATTTCAAATACGTTGATATAAGTATGTTTACAGACGGCAGGTTATTGAAGGCATGTTGAGTAACCAGTTTTAGATATTTACTGATCAAATTTAAAGTAGATAAATATTTGAAAAATCATTATTTAAATACTAGCCGATTGCTCATAACATACCATATGAAGGGATTTTATCTAAACCTTGATGTTAATAATAATTAATCATTTAATATTTATTTACTTTTAACCGCACATAAAGATCACCGATGTTGCAGTATCTAGTTGTCAATTCATTAAGTACCTACAATCTTTTCCAAAACATCGTACCTACCTACATCTTAAAGGAAAATAAGAAAGTTACTAGAGTACAGGACTTTCAAAAGGGACTTTCGGGATGAAAAAGGAAGAAGGGGCTGTAATTAAGTCACCACTGGGAACCCAGGTGTGCATCAGCGTGCGTATTGGTGGTTGCTATGGACTGCATCTGCAGTCGATAGCAGCCACCAATCAGCTCTGGGCCCGCGTGGTGGGTCAAGGTCCAATCTCCCTTGTCCATCTATAGGGAAGGCCTGTACCCTGTGCCCAAGCAGTGGGGACGTTAATAGGTTAATGATGATAATGAAACTTCCACTATCACAATCCCAGACCAAACGCCATCAAGCTCATTAATGCTCATACTTTATTAGCAAAAGTAACTTAGTCTATTGATCTGTCTATATATCTATCACCTCAACCACATATTCGATTTTGATTCGTTTTGGGATTTAGATTTAAGGGACTTTGAAGATGTTCATAGGCTTCTTTTTACTCAAAATTCAAACACGAAGGAAATAAATTTTGATATTATTTTTTGTATAGGAAAAAAAAGACGTGGGTAACCGCCGCTAATAGTCATCAATAAATCAATGCAATGTCAAGAAATACTTTCACGCTTTTATCTT